GCTTCGGGAGCTCGGCCTCATGGACCTCGACTTCGACCCGTTGGTGTCGCTCTCGCCCCAGGTTATCGTGCTTCCTATGGTTTTTCGTGGGCATTGCATCTTTGTCAGGCTGCTGCTCGCACCGTGCTGTCGGACGACGGCCACTCTCTGGATCAGACCGCTCAGGATGGCAATCCTGGGGTTAACGTGGTTGAGAAGAATGCCGTGGGGGTGGCCGCCTACGTCGATAACATCCTCGTCTTCGGCGGCTGCAAGTCCTTGGTGGATGAGACTATGAATAGGCTGGTGGGCACCTTCAGGAGGCGCGGACTTCCAGTGCACGAGATCGAGAACGCTGCTCGGAATGCCGACTTCCTTGGCCTCAGCCTCCGCGGTGGAAGATATCTTCGCATCAAGCCTCGGAACGTTTGGAGACTCCATTTTGCGATATCCAGTTTGTTGAGGCGTGGATGGTGCTCCGGCCACATGATCCGTGCGGTGCTTGGTCACGTGGACGTCGATGATCCGCAGAGAGGTGCTCACCGTGCTGCACAGCTCCTATGGCTACGTCGGCGCCTTCGGCCCGAGGCACGGCAAGCTCTGGCCGTCAGTGATCAAGGAGCTCATTCTCATTAGGGACCTGCTCCCGATTTTGACCTGCGACCTGACTGCAGAGTGGCATGCCGTGATGACGGCCAGCGACGCCTCTCCCTTTGGCCTCGGCGTCATGCGACGGCGGGCGCCTGCTGCTACTTGTGCTGCAGTGGGGCGGTGCTCGGAGCGGTGGCGCTACAAGGTCGAGGGCGGGCACCAGGCTCGCCTGCGGTCGCTCAAGGCAGGAGAACTGGTGGTTGATGAGGGGACAGGCGAAAACAGACAAAATCCGCCCTCTCTCTCTCACCTCTCATGCCAAGATCCAGCGGTAACGGGGAGCACTCTGAGGAGCACCTGGGCAGCTTGGGGGGTCACGCGTTGAAGAATCCAGAGGACATCCAGGAGGCCTGCACCTTGGGCGTCCACGGTGAGGGCTTGGGCATCCCTGTGGAGCACAACATGACCGAGGCCCTGAGGTTCAGCATGGACCCTTGGGAGCTCGACGAGGTACCTGGGCACATTACACGCAAAGAAGCCTGGAAGAGCGTCAGTGCACAGTCGGTGTCTCTGGGGGCCAATATTCTTTACCTTGAGGGCGGGGCCTTAGTCACGTCTTATCGGCACCTTCTTCGTAACTTGGGCAGTCACGGCAAGCGTATGGTGGCTTTAGTCGACAACCTGCCCTTGGCTCTTTCTTGTACGAAGGGGAGAGCCCGCTCGAGTTTCTTGAGGTCATGTCTCAACCAGTTGTGCTGTCTGTCGTTAGCCACGGGCTCGAGGCTTTGTGTACGCTGGATCGCTTCAGAAAGGAACCCATCAGACTCGCTCAGCCGTGGGAAGCTGGGTTGGTTCAGCGGCCACCGTCATCTTAGTGATGCTCGGACGGCTGGTCGGCGGCTGCGTCGCACTCTCTGTCCTGCTCTTGCTGATCACGAGGGCGGAGGCGATGCCGCGACAGGGATCGCGCACCCCTTCGGCCTTGACGAGGCACCGCGCGATCCTGGCTGCCAAAGCCACGGGCGGGAGCACCGGCACGCTGGCCATGAGCCTGCTGGAGCAGCAGGCGGTGAGACTGAACACAGAACGCTGGCCATGAGCCTGCTGGAGCAGCAGGCGGTGAGACTGAACACAGAAGCCTTCTACCGGCAGCCGCAACACACGTTCGTGAGCTACTGTGCGGACCGCCACCTGGACTGGAGCACGTTGGGCCAGTTGGACTCGATCCTGGCGGAGTACCTCACCGCGCGCCACCTGGCGCAGAGGCTGACGCCCGGCCGCATCGCGCAGCCGCCCATCGGCGCGGGCGCCGCGTTCCAGTTCTGGGGCCTCCTGCTGCACCCCGCAGACCGCGGCCAGGGCGGGATGACGGGGGCGTTCGACGTGCCGATCCCTCTCGATCTCGACCTGTACCTCGTGCCGGTCCTCATGGCGCTCCGCCTGAAGGGGCCTGTCGCGACGCCTCTGTGGGGATTCAGTCTCGGCCGGCGGAACCTGATGTTCTTTCTTGCGGCAATGACCCTGGGCATCAACCACTTGCGCCCCCACTTGTTCAGGATGAGGCAGGGCGGAGTGAGCTACGACCTTTTGACGCAGAGGCGATCGATGGAGCGGGTGCGCCGCAAAGGCCGCTGGGCCGTCATGTCGTCGATGCGGCGCTACGCGAAGGAGACGGCTCTTCTGCGCGAGCTTCAGGACGGGGCGGAGGTCGTGCACGCGTTCGGCCACCTCGTGGAAGGGCGTTTCTGCGAGCTGCTGGAGATGGGCTTCCTCAGAAACTGGCGCCTCGCCCAGGTGCCCTCCCAACTAGCGGAGGCGATGCAGCTCTGCGGCCCGGCGCGCGGCAGGCGGGCTCAGAGGAGGCCCGCAGCTGCGGCGCAGTGAGTGCTGCAGGCGACGCCGTCCGCCAGCACCTGAGGCGGCGTTTAAAGGAGGCTGTGCAGCGGGGATCGCTCTGTCGCAGGCGCGTTGTGGTAGAGCTTTTCAGCGGTTCAGGCCACTTCACCGCCGCGGTGCGCCGACTCGGCCTCTCGGGTCTGGGACTCGACATCAGGCATGGGCCTCTCGAGGACCACCTCGACGCCACTTTCGAGGAGGTCATCGTCGGATGGCCTTGTAGCCACGCAGTCGCCGCTGTTTTTCTAGGGACGCCCTGCACCACCTGGTCGCGGGCTCTCAGGAGGCCCCTGAGATCTCGCGACCACCCAATGGGATTCCATCAGTTGAGCACTTCCGAGAGAGCCCGCCTACAGCAGGGCAGCGCTTCCTTTGCGTTCACGTGCCGCATCATCAGACTGTGCAGTCGTCTAGGGACTCCTGTGATGCTGGAGAATCCAGCGAGCTCCTTGATGTGGTATGCCCGCTCTCTGTCTCGGCTCGTTCACTTACCTTCTGCACGCAGTTGTGATCTAGACCAGTGCCAGTATGGTGCACTTTGGCGGAAGCGTACGAGAATCGTTTCATGGCATGCTGGCCCTGTTGAATCCTTCTGCCGCGTGTGCCAGGGGAGACGCGGGCTGCGCTCACGCACTGCCAACAAGCATGTAATTCTGCCCGGCCAGAGCCCTGCAGGATGTAAGTACACTGCGCTCGGGGCTGCATATCCGGCTGTCCTTGCTAATGCTCTTGCAAATGTAATCAAGCGCGCTGTGCTCAAGGCGCCGCAGCAAGCGATGGCTAGCCTAATCAGCAAGTAGCGTGTCTCCGTGCTTTCTCGCTTCGGCATCGAAGTGCCTTTTTACTTTTCGGCCGCCTCTGCCATTCTGTCAGTGGCGGCCAGAGCTTCCTTAGGGGTTCGGGAACTCTCTATCTGGTCTGACCTCTGTGCAGTCTGCTCCGTCGCCCAGCTGCTCGCCGGGAAATCATCTCATGGCAGTGTCTACTGCCCCAGCCTGGCTCGCGCTCGACACATACAGTAAAAAAGAGACAGAGCCCCTTCAGTCCTCAGGCCCCGCGTGAGAGGCTCGGTAGATCTTTTTTCTGGTCCAGCTCTGGCGCTCGGGATCCTCGAGGCGGGCTGTCCAGTTTTGAAACGCGAAGCGGAGCCGGGCGGAGAGAGAGCGCCGCATTCGTCTGTGCCTGCCCCGCTGGCATTGGGCTCAAAGTGCACCCACCCACGTGCCGCCCTGGCCCTTTTGGCCCGTCTATAACTTGCTGCTCATCGCGCCTGTCATGGGAACTCTCTATCTGGTCTGACCTCTGTGCAGTCTGCTCCGTCGCCCAGCTGCTCGCCGGGAAATCATCTCATGGCAGTGTCTACTGTCCTAGCCTGGCTCGCGCTCGACACATACAGCAAAAAAGAGACAGAGCCCCTTCAGTCCTCAGGCCCCGCGTGAGAGGCTCGGTAGATCTTTGTTCTGGTCCAGCTCTGGCGCTCGGGATCCTCGAGGCGGGCTATATATATATATATATATATGTATGTATGTGACCCCGAACGGGCACGCGGGCGCGCGGCAGCACGGGTGCCGACATTTCGATGGACATCCACCTCGCCGAAGGCAGTGTCGTCGACGACCACTTCATTCGACACGCGCCATGCGCATCCGCCGTCGATGGTCACAACCGCTTGCCGAATCACCGCAATCGCCATGTGCACACCGCGGTCTTTATAACCCCTAGACCGCCGCCACACCTGTACCACAAAGGCCAAGCGGCGACGCGGCGGATGCGCATACGCCAAATCACACGGCAGCTCGCCGCGTGGGCTGCAGCCCAAACGACGGGCATAAGTCGGGCGAATCCCGCGTGCAATTTGATGCCCAGCCACTGTGTGCCCCGTCTGCGTCGCGCCATAGGTTGCGCGCTCGGCCGCCGAGGGTATGACTATAAATCTCCTGGTTGTGTCATAGGTTGCGCCCTCGACAACCGATGACATAGCTGGTTCCCATTGGTTGTGCCATTGGCTGCACCCTCGGCCGCCGAATACATATCTGGCACATAGTAGATTGTGCAGTCGGTCGCCGAGGATATAAGTTGCACCCAATGGTTTCGCCACTGGCTGCGCCCTCTGCCGCCGACGATATAGTTGGATCATTCTGGCTCCTATTGGTTTTGCCATAGGTTGCGCCCCCGCCCGTCAGTCAGTTACCTCGCGAGAAGCAAATTCTGGCTAACGCCCGACATGTTATGACACTCCCTGTCCCTCACCACCCTCGTTTCCCCTCCCGTCATCCCTCTCGACATCGTCATCCTCGTCGCATATACTACACTGTCGCATTCCTCTGCCACCCCCTCCCTCATCCGATCCGCCGCCCTCCCCCGCGCGGGCTGCGGCCCATCGGGCGCCTGCAGCGACCCGACGCGCGCAACTGATTATCGGCGCGCGCGGCCGACGCGCCGTCGACAGACATCGATGGGTTCATATGTCAGCCGACGCCCAGTCGGCTGAAATGTCCCCCGACGCGCGGTCGGCAGACTATACCGCGCAGCTATCACTGCACCTTGCGCTTCTGCCCCCTCTGCAGCGGCGGCACATGCAGCTTGAGCTGGTCGCCTGGGAGGCTACGCAAACCGCGCGTCGTCGTTGTCGTCGTCGTCGTCGTCGCGCCTGGCTTCACCTCCTTGGTGTTCACCATGCACGGCACGTTCAGCTTGTGTGTGCCAGTGTTGTCCGTCAAAGACCACCTCGACGGCGCCCCGCTTCATGTTGCCGTCGTCGGAGGAACGGGGGACCTGCCAGCGCGGCGCCACCCGCGGCTTCTTCGCCTTCTCGCCCGCAGCGAAGTGCGGCAAGATGGCAACGTTGAATGCCGATGGTGGCATGCCATCACGCTGCAGCGTGACGGTCCCCAGGTCGACCGCCGATGTCGGCTTGTCAGTCCAGGTCGCGCCAGCGGCCTTCGTGGCGAACCTGGTGCTGGACGCCGCCAGCGTGAGCTCGCCTTTCTTGTACTTGGTGTCGCCTCCGGGCCGCGAGCTGCAGCTCGACGCCCAGGGTGAACTGTCACCCGAACACAACTAATCACACACACAACGCTGTTTAGGCACAACGCGCCTGTGAGATGCACCGCGGTCGGGAGCTCCAAGATCACGATGGCCGCGAGCACCTCGCAGTGCTTGTCATGCGCGACCCGCGCCGCGCGCATGCACATGCCGATGGCGACCTCGGCGCCCCAGCCGCTGAGGTCCACGCCGCACGGCTGCATGGCGACCCGGCGCTTAAAACGCTTCAGCAACGTCCTTCTCCAGCTCGGCGTTGATGTCGACCGTCTTCGGCTCCATGACGCGGGCGCCCACGCGCTGCCTAGTAGCAGCGCGCGCGTCGGTAAGGTGCGCGGTCGTCTCGGTCACATCCGTGACCTCCCATGCCTCATTTCCGCCGCCCGCTTTTAAACTGACGAACGCCCTTCTCGCTACGCCCATCGTTTCTATCTTGTACTTGGAGCCCTTCATCTGCTCCACAGTCAGTGGGCCCGCGCCGCGGGCTGCCGACGGCGCCGACGACGCAGGTGTTGGCGCGCCTGCTCCCTCCCAACCCCCCAAGCTAACGCCGAGTGCCTCGGCCACCTGGGGCGTCTTCATCTGGGGCCCCCCGCCCAGCGCCAGGGCCCTGCAGCCATGGCTTCAGCGAATGATACCGCACGTCGTCGGGGAGGGACGGGGTGGGCTGGAGGAGATAAAGCGGGTCGGCTGCAGCCGGCATGCCCGCGTAAAGTCCTGGGCGATATGGTCGAGGCTCGCGTAGTCCTCACCCGCGCACTCGATGTTCCTGCGCTTCGCAAGGAGCTTCGCGACCTTGCAGTCGGGCGACCCGATCGCCATTGCCAAGTCCCGATCCTGTGGCGGGCATTATTAACACATGGTTGCATGCGGGGTTGTCGGCTGCAGCCGACCACCCTTGAGGCATGACGCGGGCATGCATGTGCTATGTAAGGTCGGCTGAATCCGTCCATCAGGCCGTCGGTCGTGTCGATCAGATCGCGCGCCCTGCCCATGAGCTTCTCGCCCGCGAGCAGCTCTGAGCGGATTTTCTGGTTACCGAGTGAGTTCACATGGGTCTAGAGCAGGAGGCTGCACCTGGAAAGCACACGCATGAGAGACACCATCATCACACATCGGGGGGTGGGGGGGAGGGGGCGTGCATCTGCCGTCTTTCGCAACGTGAGACGTCAGGTTCGCCTTGAGCAGCGCGTTGCACACGTACAGGATGGGATCCCGAAGGAACTGCTTAGCCAACGTGTTGACTGCCGAGATGAAGTCAGACCCCATGGTCTTGACGGTGCCAACAGTCACTTAAAAATCGCCGCTGCAGCGGCGAATGGCGAGGGGGCGGGGGGGGGGGCGCGTGTCGGAACTGGCTACAGCCAGGTTTGTCAGCGCCGCAGCCTTGGTGTAGGCGTTCAGGTCCTTAAGGAGCTCGCCGTTGCCACCGCCCCCCTGCACGTGCGCGAGCAGGTGGTGCAGCCACGCAGCGCACTGCGGCTGCTCCGCAGCAGCCGTCGCCATGATCGCCTCCTTGGGCGGCGTCGCGCCCGCGGCGTTGGCGATGTCGAATGCCTTCTGCATGCGCATCATCACCGTTACCTCCGTCTTCTCCTCCTTCACGTCCAAGTTCAAGGCTTTCTGAATCCACTGCAGCGCGATGCTGCGATTGTCGGCATCGTCGTCGTTGCCGCCGCCGTCGTCGTCGTCGTCGTCGTCGCGCGCGCGCGTTCGACGGGGGGTCGGCGGCGCAGCTGCAGCTGGGCGGACGAAATCCTCGAAGCTTGGCACGTGCACCTCCACCTGGTAGGACACGACGGTCCACGTCAGCCCTTGCTCGATCGCCTCGATGAAGGCGGGCTGTTCGTGGAACAACACCTTGCGCAGCCGACCTGACACGTCGGCTAACTCACCCTCCTGGGTCTTGCACCCCGCGCCGACGGCGCGGAGGAACGCGTTGGCGTGGTTCCCACCAATCGCTAGGTACGTAACCCGATCTGAGGGCAGGCTAGGGATGGGCTGCCCCGACCGCTGCACGAGCTCCTCGTTGAGTGCCAACGCGTGCTTCAGCGAGGCGGAGCCCAATGGCGGCGCCTCTCTCTCTCTCTCTCTCTCTCTCTCTCTCTCTCTCTCTCTCTCTACATATCTCTCTCTATCTAGAATCTAGATCTTTTTTTTTGTTGTTTTTTTCTCTCTCTCTCTCTCTCTCTCTCTCTCTCTCTCTCTCTCTCTCTCTCTCTCACCCCTCCCTCCCTCCCTCCCCTCTCCCTCCTTCTCCCACCGTCCCTCTCCCTCTCCCTCTCCCTCTCCCTCTCCCTCTCTCTCTCTCTCTCTCTCTCTCTCTCTCTTCTCTCTCTCTCTCTCTCTCTCTCCTCTCTCTCTCTCCCTCTCTCTCTCCCTCTCTATCTCTATCCTTCTCTCTCTCTCTCTCCCCCTCTCTCTCTCTCTCTCTCTCTCTCTTCTCTGTCTCTCTCTCTCTCTCTCTCTCTCTCTCTCTCTCTCTCTCTCTCTCTCTCTCTCTCTCTCTCTCTCTCTCTCTCTCTCCTCTTCTCTCTCTCTCATCTCTCTCTCTCTCTCTCTCTCTCTCTCTCTATCTCTCTCTCCCTCTCTCTCTCTCTCTCTCTCTCTCTCTCTCTCTCTCTCTCTCTCTCTCTCTCTCTCTCTCTCTCTCGCTCCCCCCGTGTGTGCGTGTGTCTCTGTCTCTGCATCGCCTCTATCGCCGTCGCGTCCGCCGCCTTGCGCTTGGAGAAACCAGCCCTCCAAATGTCGCGGCCGTGCTTGTGCACCTCGTCGATGCCCACTAGCGCGCAGCTTCGATTCCCGGAGTGAATCGCAACTGTTCCGCACTGGCCCATATAGAGAACGGGGGGGGAGCGTTTGGCGTGGGCGCTGAGCTACAGCTCGACGCGCTCGTGCGCAAGTGCGCGCACGTGCAATATACCATGGGTGACGCGGGCATGCGCCAGCATGGTAATTCAGGCGGCGTCTGCAGCTCCCACGCGAGGCCGTGCTCGATGAGATGGGGCATCACTTCGCCCCAGCCAGCCACGAGGGCACCCTTGCCCAAATGCGTGGCCATCAGACGAGAGATCTCGCCAGTCCTCAAGTATTCCGCGCACATCGCGACACCGATGCCCGCCCTCGGCCCCCGCCCGCGCGCGACTCCGACCCGTCTGATGAACCTAATCAGCTGCGCGGGCGGCAGAAGGTCTCGAGCTGCAGCTCGGAAGAAGGGGGCGAGGATGAGGAGCGCGGGCTCGAGCTGCAGCTCGGCAGATGGATGGGGCAGGGGGGGGGGAGGCACGGGAGCGAGAGCTGCAGCTCTCAACGTCGACGCGGGCGGCGGGGGGGTGGGGGGGAGGCGGCTCGGGCTGCATCATCATCGTCATCATCATCATCGCCATCATCATCATCTTCACCCTCCTCCCCGTCATCATCAGCCTCCTCCTCCTCGCCCTCCTCCTCCTCCTCCTCCTCCTCACCCTCCTCCTCATCATCACCGTCCTCCTCCTCGTCCTCCTCCTCGTCATCATCAGCCTCCTCCCCCATCCCCTCCTCCTCCTCCTCCTCCTCATCCTCCTCCTCGTCATCATCAGCCTCCTCCCCCATCCCCTCCTCCTCCTCCCCCTCCTCCTCCTCCCTATCGTCATCATCGCCGTCCTCCTCCTCCTCCTCATGACCCTCTCGGCCCCCGTCCTCCTCGCCCCTTTCTTTTGATAGCCGAACCGATCGCCGCGGTCGCCTCTGCACGACGCCGCGTCTACACGCGGTCCTCGCGCCGGCGCAATCCGACCGACCAATCTGGCAAGTGGTGCAATTTTACCTACGGCGACGACGACGACGACGGCGACGATGACGACGGCGACGACGACTCGCCTTGCCGACCCATTCCTGCCACTTCTCATCGTTGGCCGCCACGACCCGCTCGACGGCCTCGCCATGGCCCACCTCGCTCGAACGCGAGCTTCGAGAACACCCGCGCCTCGACTACGGCGACGACAACGACGACGGCGACGACGACGACGACGACGGCGCCTGCCGCGCGTGCGCGAGGGAGCACTCGTAATCCCAGTGTACTGGGATTACGAATGGGAACCACGGCTCGCCCGCCCACCGCGACCTGCGCGGCGTCGGCTGACCGGCCTCCTTCTCGTCGTCGCTCGTCGCGCACCGCATCTGCGGGTACGTCGCCGCCGCCCTCTCCGCCGCATAGTCGGCGTTGCGGCGCATCCGCTTCGCGGCGGGCGTGGCCGGCGGCAGCTCCGCGACTTCAATGGGATGCGCCCCCGCGCGCCACGCGGAGGGGGGCGGTGGAAAACCGCTCGCCCTGGGGGCGACCTCCGAGCCGCCATGCGCGGCGACGAACGCCGACTTGGGGATGGGTGGCGGCGCCCGCGCAGCGGCGCCTGGAGGTGCAATCGGCGGAACGGACATCGCCCCCAGCCGACGGGGGCCCGAGGCTGCAGCTTGGGGGGCGGGCTTGCACCAGCGAGGCGGCAGCTCGCATGACGCCCAATTCAATGGCACATCACGACGCGCATGACCACAACACAACAGCGACGAAAACATGAAACACAAACACATGTGCATCTCAAGCCGCACCACCCGCTAACCCGCGATTGAAGCACCACCCGCGAACCCGATAACATCTTGATCGGGGGGACAACCTCAAAAAGAAAAATGAACCATGCATAACATCAGGATCGCACCACCACACGCACAACCAATGAAAACACATGCACCGATCAAGCTTTCCACCCGATATACGATAACATTGCCTAACACATCATGGTCGGGGTGCCGCGTGCAAAGCAAGAAGTCACAATGCCACATGCAGCGCGCTTGAAACGCACCGAAGAAAACACGCAAGGAAGCCATAACTGCAACTCCCCACGGCCTCAAGAACGCACGAAAAAAACAACATGGAGAAACCGCTTTAGATTGTTAGCACGCCAAAATCGGAATACCACTCTGCAGCAAATGAGCGTCGCACTATCACATGCAAACAAGAACAAACAATGCATGTAGCGCATGATCTCCCTAATATCGCATGCAAGACAGATGGGGAAACAATGAATGGAAGACATCATGGCCGAACCAAAACATGCAAACCTACATGAAAAACTCAGCGGGTTCAACTTAGACCACTCCGCTTGCACGAGAAACCACTGCGGATCCACATCGTGGTCGAACCAACACATGTCAACCCACAGAGAAACAAAACACCAAAATGCATCGAAGCAAGCACACGCAAACACCCCAAAAAACATACATGCGGAACAACACGGTTAGACAACCAACAGGAAAACACATGAGAACACTGCTTCTGTAGCATACCATGACTTGACAATCATACACCAAACAATGCGCAACAACAATGACAGTTGATCTTATAAAAGGCTTAGCTAACGTATTAAAATATGTTAAAGGGTTAGCTAACTCATGATAACTCATGCTAAGTGTTAAATAAACCATGTTAAAGTATGTTAAAACACGTTAAATT